CGCACGAGTAATGAAGTTTCGTGTCAAGCAAGTGTCATAATAGGCCCCGACCTTACGGCCACCGATGACTACCTCGCCGACGAACAACTCTCCCTCAGGAGCTTTGGCCATAGCCGTCCAAGAAGCGAGCAAGTCTGATCTAGACCACTCCTCCTCTAGCTCCTCTAAGGACTCAAACACATTCAGCGAATAGAGGATCGCTGAGCCCGAATGTGTTTGCGGGACGGTAATGGAGTCGGTAGCTTGGGCCATCTCTCGAGATGGTGAGGGTGTGTCCACCACCTCGACCCTAGTAGGAACAACTACTATTCCTACTGGCCCGACGTGTTTCTCGGAGCAGTGCCATAACTGCTGATCACATTGCTACCTACGGGAGCGGAGGATCCCAACGCCTGCCCCATTGTAGGCGGGATCTTCTCGATCACCTTCTTGTTGCGGCAGTTAAACTGGTTAGGGCCATATTGACCACAACGAATAAAGGTCTGCCTGGTGTACCGGTCTCTCCACACGTCCCTTGTGAGACCCACTTTTTCCCATGGAGGAGCGTTAGGGTCAACTTCTCCTAGACCAGGAACCTCCACGACGTCTAACGGTGAGAAGTGCGAGTTTGTCTGCACCCGTATCTTGTACTTGGGTCATGAGATTTCCGCAGAGGGATTAAAGCCCGATGATGCAAAGGTGGCCAGCATTCGTGATTGGCCGCGTCCTCAGTCTGTGACTGAGATGAGGTCCTTAGGGAATGACCGGCTACTATCGCAAATCTTATGAAAAACTATAGCATAGTTGCCGCCCCTTTGACGGACCTGACTCACCTTGACACCCCATGGGCGTGGGAAGACAGGTGTGAGGCTGCTTTCAGACATCTGAAGCATGCTTTAACACACCATGAGGTCTTGAAGCGTCCCGATTCTGACAAGTCGTTTATAGTGGCATAGGCGTCGTGCTCGCTCAGCAGGAGCGGCCAAAGTTGAGGCCTGTTGAGTACTTGTCCAAAAAGATGCCCTCTCAGAAGTTGGCTAAGCCCACCTATGAGGAGCACTAACCCACTGGAGACACTACCTCCTTGGGAGGTTTTTCTACGTCAGGACTGATCATCAGACCCCGAAGTGGATGAGAACCTAGTCTGTGCTTTCTGATGCATTGAAATGCTGGATCGAAGTCATTGAGCAGTATGACTTCGAGCCCCAGTACATCAAAGGAGAGTACAACAAAGTTGCTGATGTGCTGTCGTGTAGGCCAGACTTTCTCGGTGCGCTGATAACTTAGTTTGGGTTTGCCGACAATGTTACTCAGTCTTTGGTCGAAGCCTATCGCGAGGATCCGTTCATGTCAGAGATCATACGCAGACCCGAGGCGAAGGATAAAATAACGTCTGAAGAGTTTGAGTTTATCAATGGACTGCTGTTCCTTGAGCAAGACGGGGATAAACGTTTGTGTGTTCTAAATTGGGAGTCCTTGCATAGTTTATTTTTAGGCGAGTTTCATGAAGCCAGCGGACATTTTGGATATAGGAAGACTGCAGCAAACTTGTTGCAGCAGTTCTGGTAGCCCACAATGATGAAGGATGCGAAGCTGTACGTGGAGACTTATCAAGTCCGCCAGCGAGACAAGCCACGTACCCAAGCCTCTCTTGGGCTTCTTAAGCCCCTTCCGATTCCGGAAAGGCCCGGTGAGAGCCTTTCCATGGACTTCATGGACACACTGGTCACCAGCAAGAGCGGAATGAGACACATCTTTGTTATTGTGGATAGGTTTAGTAAGTACGCTAGGTTAGTTGCAATGCCAAAAACTGCGAAAACCGAGTACTTAATCAGACTATTTAAGGAAAACTGGGTCCGGGACTTTGGACTGCCAAAGTCTATTATCAGCGACCGGGATGTGAGATTTACGAGCGAGTTGTAGAAGGCTGCAGCTGCAGAACAGGGTACCCAGTTACAAATGACTTCCGGGAACCATCCAGAAGCAAATGGGCAAGCAGAGCAGCCGAATCGCGCTGTTCAACACCTGCTGAGACATTACATCAAGCCTAATCTGGTGGACTGGGATGAGAAACTTGCTCTCATCGCCAGTCTCTATAACAACGCAGTGCACAGCGCAACAGGGGCGAGCCCCAACAGTCTGCTACTGACTTCTAAACCTAGACTGCCATTAGATTTTCTCTTACCTGAGAATCAGCCTTTTGCTGCACCAGGCACCTTAGACTTTGCTTATCGATATGAGCACCTGATGCAGCAAGCTGTAGCACAGATGCACAAAGCACATGCGGCGATGATAGAGTCTGAGAACAAACACCACTGCCCATCTACAGGGTCTGGGTCAAGTCCTCAGAACTGGGACAGGAGCACGGGATCTCCCTCAAGCTCATGCCACAGTACTTTGGACCATGGGAGGTTCTCAACATTATTGGGGGTGATCCGGATGGGCCGTCATATGTAATTCGGATTCCTGGTCACTTTCGCACTTACCCTGTCTTTCACGCCTCCAAACTTGCACCTTTCAAGGAAACTGACCAGTTTCCCTCTTGTCGTTCAATGCTGCCCCCAACCATGGATGGAGAGGTCGACATCGATGACATCGTGGACCACAGGGAAATGCCAGTTCCAAGACCAACAGGCAGGGGACGTCCTCCTAAGCGGAAGTTGCAGTATTGCGATCGGTTACATCACACTGATCCTAAGGAGGACAAATGGTTTACTAGGGAGCAACTGATGCAGACCGCTCCACATGCTGTCACTCACTGCAGAAAGGAAAGCGCCAGATTGAGTAATGGGACTTCTCAGAGGACTGTAGAAGTATGGAGGAGGGAATGCGAGGCTCAAGGCCTCGATACGCCCTACTGGGCCCTATTTTCAGTACAGTCGGCCGCCATAAGTGAAGGCAGGCCCGACCAAGACCTACAGGCCCATTTTTGGGGTCACCACGCAACTGGGGAAATTCAGGCAGCTGCGCAGCGCCAGTTGGTTGAGAGCGCCCAGGCCCAGGCTGCCTCTTTCGCATGTAACTGAGGCAGGCCCTGGGCCAGATATGCAACATGGGCCGAACACAGGCTGCGGGCAGTTGGGCACGGGTAACCACCACAGGCCCTGGGCCTGATTTGTTCGGGCTGGGCCTCAGCCTCACGGGCCCTACCGGAAGCTTCTGGACTGAGGCCCAGTGAAGGCAGGCAGCACGCAGCAGGCAAGTCACTTCCATTTAGGAAAGTGCCTGCCCCAGCACTCGACATTCGGGCACTGGCTGCATGCTGCGCTAGACGCTGACCAGCGCTCACGCGCTCACGGGTGAGCTGGATGAGCAGGCAGCCATAGCCGAGCTGCGTTGCTGTATGCTGGATGGGGCGTATGGTGGTCCTTGGGTGCAAGTGGCATCTGTGAGTGGGGGATCGAGGTTGTGAGTGATACGAGAGACATACCTGGTGCTTGAGGCGAACGGCATTGACCGAGATCTGCTCATACTCCGGGGAGCTGTTGATGTCACCAGCTGCCATTTGTAGTCTGGGCGCAGAGCGCCAGATTGGATGTCGACATTGGTTCTTTGTTGATGATGATGAGACTATTTGAACATTGTCACTTATGAGCTTTTGCTGTACCGGTGGGACTCGTGTTGCAATTCTGCTTTTGGTTCGAGGTCACGACTATCTGGTCTCATGTGTATGATGCTGCTTGGTTTCTCAAGTTCGCTATCGCTCATTTTCCTTGCAGTAAGAAAGGGACAGTGCAAAGTGATGCGCGTTGGTGCAGACATCAAGCAGACACGACATGCACACTTTTCGTTGTTTTCGTTTATTTTGAAAGTGTTCAAAATCGAATCAAAGGTTGACTATTTAGGTAGCCAACGAGTGCGGAGGGTAGCACCTCCCATGTCAGTCGCGAAACATCTTCCCTGTGGCAAGGGCGTTTCATGCTCTTTCCCGTCACCTGTATTGAAGCGGTATTGTAAGGTGTTGCTGCCCATAAGGTAGCGCTGGGGTATCACAACTTGAAGTGCAGGGGGAAGGGTGTGCCTGACCTTTTTCTGCAGGGAAAGGTGAACGGTAACATCAAGCGCTGAGGGCATGGAGACCTTGCGTGGTTTAATAATAGCCTCTCAGTTGGGTCATGCACCAAGGACGCTGGCTTCAAACAGCAGTTGTATGGGATGCGGATGATTCTTCCTTTTTTTTTCCTTTTTTTTTCYTTTTTTTTTTTTTTTTTTTTTTTGGGAAGGCTGATGATACAATGGCCTGTACATCACAGGGAATGGGGGATGGGTGCTTCCAGAAATGTTGGCCATTCACGGCTGGCAGCACAAGGATCCCAGGTAGGAAGGAGGTGGGATTCTGTGTCGAAGGAAATAACATGAAAAAGACAACGAAATATTTATGTCCTTTATATTGGATATAAAGCAAGCCAGTACCAACCCACAGAGCTCCGTACTGGCTCAGTACTGGCTCTGTGGCTCCGGCTAAAAAAAACAAAAAAAACAGAGCGTCGTAGTTATATCTTGAAATTAGGGTTTAGTTAAAAAATGTGAGGTGAAAGAAAAATATATGGCTGTCCCCTGATGAGGAAAACGCAGCTTAAAAAAAAAAAACAAAAAAAACTGGGATGCGCAGTAACAACACACAACACACAAAAAAAGAAAAAAGAAAAAGAAACAAGTTCAAACAACAGGTTACTGACAGCCATGCGAATTCAAATAAGTGAACTTGTCCAAGATGCAGGCACGGGTACATAGATGATGCGATAATTTCCATCTGGAAATCAGATGGTCCTACCCAAGCTCAGAGTGGCACACCCTTTTTTTTTTTTTTTTTTTTTTTTTTAATACAATCAGCACCTACCTAGCACACTTCCAAAGAAACATCCTAAGCATTATGTGACATATTATATCCAACGAAAAACGAATACAACCCAGAAAAAATAATTTAGTATTGTGTGGTCCGATGGAGCACCGATCAGATATTAAACTGATCGAAAAAAAAAGAAAGAAGAGAAAGACGACCAAGCCATTGCCGTTGGCAATGATAAAAGCTGCACACTTGCCGTGCGCTCATGATATGTCACAGCCACACAATCATAAACATCCTTGAAAAGTCCAACAGAAAAGAAGAAAGATGGCCACGCCATTTGCGGCCGACAATAAAACCTGCAGACTTGAGCCACACACATATGATTATACTATGATACCTTGGCACAATACATCAACATATTTCCTTGTACTTATCCCGAAAGCATGTTCGATGACAATTATGGTCAACTCTACTCTCATTCACAGACAATACCAGCACTCTGTGACAAGCCTTATCTTCTCCATGTCAGCCACTGGTTAAACAACCCGCTGCACCTCCCTCCACAGCAACAGCAGTGCTTACCATTCATCCATGACGCTGTGCAATCAGTTACAACTAAGACCTCTGAATCTCTCCTGCACGTATCTACCCCAAGTACTGCCATGGCCAACCCGACTGACCAATGACCATTTTGACAACTGCACTCTGTGCAATCCAGTCCCCCAGGGGACCTTGCCCCCGTGGGCCCAACTGTGATTCACTATGCGCGTGGGTACTGGTCGATTCCCGACAACCAGCACCACCTTATGTGATGTCAGCACACATGCTTGCCTGTGTGCAGCACCAGCACCACCTCCATGCTCTCGTCTTGCACTCCTGCCAGCACCTTCCGGCTTCCAATCTCCAGAATTTTCCCAACCATCCACAGCACTTTGCTACCTCTGTGCGCTTTGTGACAGATCCTTCCCAACAACCGGAACCGTGCTATGCGTGCCCCCTTTCCACCCTCAGCACACGTCATTCCATAGCGGACAAGCCTGCCACAATGCACACGTACCATGTTTTGGACAACCCCTCCTAGACCCTACAACTGTTTGACACATAGACCTGTTCCCAACAACCAGCACCGTGCTATGTTGCCTGCTCCCTTTTCCACCCCCAGCAGACGCCCCGCCCTAGAGGACAAGCCTGCCACAATGCACACATGCCATGTATGGCCAACCCCTCTTAGACCCTACAACCGTTTGGCACATAAACCTGTGCCTGAGCCCCCTGCCCCCTTTCCACCCTCAGCACATGTCCACTTCCTAGAGGACAAGCCTGCCGCAATGCACACATGCCATGTATGGACAACCCCTCCTAAACCCTACGACTGTTTGACACATGAACCTGTGCCTAAAAGAAATTCGCCACCTTTCCCATCCGTCTCTAGGATCCTCTGCTGAGTTTCACAACTATCAGCACTCCGTCTTGTGCACACAATCTTCCAAAACCAAATGGATACGAATGCGGGCAAAGCAAACCAACCACCATCCAAAGGTGGGGGCCCCAGCAGTGCAGGCGAACAGACAGTCAGCAGCTCTGACAATGAAACAAGTCAAACTAGCATTCCACTGCGCAAAGCGGTGCCAGCCACTTTTTTTGTAGTGAAGAAGGACAGAAGTGCCCCTGTTCACTTCACAAACAAGAAGACATGATGCCACTGGCAGAGCGCTGTCACACATCATGGAGTCCATCACGTGGTGATAATCATGCACGCTGATGTGCAAGTGCTCTGGCGGCAGTGACATGCTGTCGTTTTGCTTCTATACAGCGAAGATCTCGTACATATGCCCCCCCTTTTTGCCCAAGAGTCTGTGAAGCAGCTCCAGCTCACCAGACCAAAAAAATAGCAATAACGCATCGACGATTGGGAGACGGACATAACGTACGCACACAGTAAAAGTTCCCCCCGTTCCCCAAACAAACCCGACTGCTCTGTCATCCAAGTGCCTACTGCAAAGAAGACGACAGACCAACATGGTTCCATCGAGAGTGATCGAGTGTGGTGGCCCCAGTAACAAGAACGGCAATGACGGTGAGTGCACGGCGCACGCCCACTAACTGGTGTTATCTCGTTCACAACCACACAGAACGTGCGGTGCATTTCTTCAACATATATATGCCCAAATACCACATTGACACATAGACACCTTTATCCTGCGGCAGCCACCACGACTTGTTGCGATCAGGCCAACTCATGATCTGACAGACTCCTCAGATCTGACACTACGGAGCATGTATGTGTTGCCATTAGGCCATACCACATGTACGTGACGAAAAGAGCAAGAAACAGCAATGCACTACATGATCTGACAGAATCCTCAGATCGGACAAGGACCCGAAATAACGGCCCTCCAAAGCAGAGGCTCTAGTGCAGAAAAGATCTGCAAAAAAGTCCTTACATTCCACAATGAGTAGATGCAAGGTCACACCTAATGCACCATCAAAATAAATCCTGTGGATGCCAAAACATACATGCTCTGTGTTTGTTCAGTATTCATCGAGCTGCATCAAGGGTGGAGAGTGGGGAGTGGGAGAGAGTCTCTCCAGAAAAGTATGTACAATGTATGTCTTACACACACACACACACACACACACACACACACACACAGAGAGAGAGAGAGAGAGAGAGAGAGAGAGAGAGAGAGAGAGAGAGAGAGAGAGAGAGAAGCTACTCTACAGGCTGCTAGGAGCTAGACATATCATCAAGACACTGTTCCAGCATCCTTGCAACACAGCTCGAGATGTTATTCCTATCCTCACTAGAGTTTGAATGGCCAATATTTGATGATGATACATGGATGGACAAGTCACTTTCCAATAAGATCAACTTGCATGGGTTATTTGTGCGGCGCACTTTGCTTTGGCTGACACCGTGTGAAAATTCGATTTCAAACATCACGGGTGGGAGGCACCCACGCTTTCTGACCGATGAATGCGGTAAGGATCTCAGAGCGAACAACCTCGGTGACATCAGAAGTTTCAGGTTCCTACACGCCGCACGGTATCCAGATGGTGACGTTACATCATCAGTGGCAAGGAAAACCGATCCGAACCAATCAACACGCTGATGTCCACTCTGCCACATTGACCATGACCGGCAAGATGATGAGGACGGCGCGTCATTGTTACCTTCCAGCCAGTTTGGTGAAGTAGATGGTGCTGCCAGATGCTCCACCCCAATACGCAGTGAGAATGAGATTAGGATTGCCTCCGATTTGACAACCCTCCTCGCGTACTCCATGGATGACAACACTACCATGCGGTAGAACTCCCATGTCGCAGGGCCTCTGAAGCGCAGCCGCCACCGCTCAAGCATCGGTCTCTGGGTGTCTGCAGGTGCATCTGCCATCCCACCCTTACCCAGCACCCTCAAGAACATGGGTTCATTCTGGGCCCCAAGCATCGAAGGAACCATAGGTAATACTGAACCCTGAGATTCTTTCCCTTCCCCATCTATCACCAACTCCAGAGTGATCTCTCTCACATCCCTTGCCATAGTCAGGACGTTCCTGACCTGGTCGAGCGAAGGATTGGACAAGGCGACTTCCTGCACCTCCTGGAGCACTTCAATCACCAGTCGCCTGAACCTTCTGGAAAGCGCAGAGCAACGGACAAGAGTGGGCATGTCTGGCACTCGCTGCAAGATGGAGACGATGACATCATCGGAGAGCCCTGCAAAGCTTGGTGTATTGCTGAGACCATCCTCATCATCACCCTCCTCATCATGATCATCACTTGTCACCTGTCCTTTCGGATGCACCCTGCTGCTGCACACACACCCTGCGTCAGGACACCCTTCGCTCTCGACCTTCGGAACACCACACTTGCCGAGTCCTCGGCGGAAAATCCTCCGCCGCAACCCTGACTTTCCTTGGGCCTCTAGGGCATTTCTGCAAGGCGTACCCTTAAGAATATCCCCGTCCTCGCCGATGCCTTTGTTTTCCCAACCATGGTGTGAATGCGAACGATGCCACTCACATTCCTTGCCTTTCAGTTTGTCTGCTGTCGCATTATCGTAGACTTCGCTATGCGTCATACGCCGTTCCAATTGCGACGCAGGCCGCAGGTTAAACAGTGCAATCAAGCGCTTCACAAAACCATTCGCCATCTTCGTCTCCTATAGTCCGCTTGCACTTTTCCACATCGCCCGTGCACGAGAAACAGCTGTCAAAATGTCAGACCAAGCTGGTGCAGGTAGTCTGACTGCTTTATCTGTTTTAGAAACACAAGCTGGAGATGTATCTGCTTATATTCCTACCAATGCCATTTCCATTATGGACGGACAAATCCTTTTGGAAACAGAACTGTTTTATCGTGGACCTGAAGCCGTGACTGAAAGATATCCACGCAGTGACGGGCTGGGCTGGCTGCTTCCTAAGCGCAATACGCTTTCCTACTGCTGCACATCTGGAAGCACTGCGAATCACCCTGCCGCATGCGAGGCACAAAACCCTTCAGAGACCGCAGTGACATGGTGGTGCAGCATATTAACCAGAAAGACGGATAAAAGTGTTCCTGCCATGGTTAACACCCTGCATATGTTCACACAGTTGTCGCTCTTCTTCCTCTTCCTCTCAAATTCTTGGTAACCAAAGTCGGAAGAATAGATAGCTACATGTGGACAGTCCATTCAGACGCGCACACATGAAAAAAGGGCAAGCAAGATTCCCTTTCTGCCCTGCTGCTCTTCTGCACATCCAAAGCGAAGAGGACAAAAAACGACAAGGAGGTGATCAAACACGAACTGGAAGCTTGCGTGCTGTAAACCACCAGTCTCTTCCCCAGCTATTTTGTTCCCATGCGGTGGTTAACCTGCCGCAGCAGCAGGGGTGTGGCCTCCTGGACCACAATATGGCTGCTGGCGTCAGGCAAACGGTCAGTGCCAGTATTTTATTTTATTTTTTTCGGGCGTGGAGCAGTAATCTGGAGGGACAAGGAGACTGGGGGTGCAGCAACTTTTCCGCTACCTTCAATTCAATCTAATGGAGGGAAGATGGCTCTGAAATTCTTGCACAACGTCAGATCACTACCGTTTTCACCCCAATAAATCGCCCGGCCATCATGGCCATATTTGGTGCATTTTTCAGTCCAGATACAGCTATAATGACCGGGCGTTCTATTCGGGTGAAGAAGGTAATCAACATGGCAATTTCACTGGACCTGCATAACACCCAAATGGTGAAGCCCAAATTTCTGGCAATTTCTGGCGACCTGCCACTACCAAACCTATAGGAAATCCCACCCACAATCATCAGTACAGCCTACCCCAAACATTCATCAAAACAAAAGAGAACCATCCCTAACTCCAAAATTTGTCTCTCAAACGTTTGAACTTGGGAGTTAAGTCAATACTAGTTTTGACATGTTGCAAGCACAGCCAGCTACGCAATGATCTCTGAGGGCATACTCACGCTACCACAAATTTTCACAAATTTTACCAGTGCCAATTTGTGATTATACGTCATGTCCTGGTCACACCCCACACCCCTATTCGCCACAAAACAGAAATGCCACTGTAGCGACCAGATCTCCAAACGTGAAAATTTTAAAATACAATCCTTGCGGTCACACAGGGCAACACACAAAAAAAGCCATTTCCCTTTGTATTTTTTTCCCCCCCTTTCCAGAGTCCTCATGCACGTATTTTTGCAAAATCGAACAACCCTGCACACCCTTTGTCGCATACCATAACGGTACAGACCAGAACAAGAACCGACCTCTCTCACATAGTACAAGATAGCACAGCGGAAGGCTTAAATACCCATGATCCGAACAATCCATGTTGCAATGCAGACCAGACATACATCATCATCATTCCATGGTGTGAACGGGCCTGGCGCTCACACAGGAAGAATGCGCCAGTCCCCAACCGTACACGGACGAAGAGGAGGGGGGTTAGACGAAGAAGAGGGGAAGATGGGAATGTCGTCAACACCAAGTCTTCGGTACAGGTACCAAATAATCCCTCGTCAAATGTCTGAATCCCAATATCGAGTCTGGATCCAAATGTCGTCAAGTCCCAAAGTCACCAATCTCTCCCTCTCGTAGTCTGCAGATACTGAGAAGTCAGGTAGCGAGAGGGTGAGGAAGAGATGGTGGACTTAGAAGAGGAAGAAGAAGAACTCTCTCTCTCTCTCTCTCTCTCTCTCTCAGTCCGGTACTAACCTGTGAAGGTGGCGCCTTGTTGCAGGTACATCAAAGACGAAGCTGGAGCTATGSCGCTACAGGTAAGTCTCCCTGGCCTCCGCCAACCATCTCTCTCTCTCTCCAACGCTACTCTAGTTCCTACTAGCGCCCAGCGCTGAAGACTACTGCTAATGCTACTACTACTCCTGCAGCGCTCCTCCAGAGTGCTGTTGCTGAATCCCGAAGACTACCTCCTGCCTCCTGCACGTGAAGTGCCTGGGAAGTCCCTATGAACTACCTTGTCCTGCCTGCAGCCTGCAGGGCGGGCCAGTCTTATATAGTGCTGGCCCGTCCAGGAGGCTGCTCTTGCCAATGCCAAAATGTGCCAGACCCTGGCATTGAAGTTCAAACGAGGGTTGTCTTGAAAACAGGCCCAAAATGGCCTGTGCTAAAACCCTGGTCTAGTGCCTAAGTTTCAGGGCCGGTCGATCTTATGAGGGCCTGAAAATGGCCCTCCGTTTCAGGCTGAAAAACTCAGGGCCTGGAGGGCCCTTTTTAGGCTGAAACGACACAGGGCCTGTAGGCCCTTGCTTTCAGGCTTTTAGGCTGAGAACGCTGGTCGGGCCCTGCAGGCCCGTGTGGCTGCGCAGTATGCCACACCCTTCCACACCACGAATTTTTGTTTTCGTTTCCAGAAAGCAACTGCAGAAATAGAAATACGATTTTGCTAGAGGTCCCCGCAAACCCATGTCTGTCCAGGCCCCTGACATATATGTGCCCTTTTGGATGATAACGCAAAATACGGGCCCCTTGTGACCCAAAAAATCACGTATTAATTTGCAATTTTGTGTGTGTTACGATCCTGGCCAATTTCGGAGTATACAAACATCAGAAAGTACAATGCCGTCAAATTGCAAAAAGAAATGAATGAACTTGAGAGGAGAGAGAGGGAAACAAGAAGAAGAAGAAGTAAGAAAGAAGAAGAAGACGATGTACTCCAGCATAGACCAATGACAAGGCTCTTCTTCCTCACCAACCAATTTCCTCCTCCTTATCTCCTACCCTCTTATTCAAACAAGAAATAACAATAATAATGTTGAATGCCTGAACAAGAGTCAATGTCCAAATCCCACTTCTACTGCAGGCACAACATGAGGTCCATCATAGCCATGGCCACCCTTCCTCTTCCTCTACATACAGGCCGAGGCTATGGCAGAGTACTAAGGGCTCTCCCTCCTGTCCAAAGGACAACCCAAAGCAGCTATGACGCTGCACTTCTGTACCCAGGTCAACTCCCTGCAGCTATGCCGCTGCCTACTCAACCGCCATGCCTGACTCTGTCCCGAGCTTCCTTGATGGGGCACTACCCCCACTGGGGCCTTCCAGATGCAGCGCCTAACAAGGTGATGAAGATGGTGTCTACCATAGACAGGTAAGTACCCCGCCACTCTCCTCCTTGGTCCCCTTCTCCCTCCTCCTCCTACCTGTAGAGCTCCACCATAGCCAAGGTGGAAGCTCCCGGCTTCTTCCGCCACTCCAGCCAGCGCTCCAGCAGCGTGTTGCCAAACTTGCACACTGAAAAATGAGGCCGAGCTCTCGCCTCGGCCTCCAGGTATAGCGGCCTGCTTGCCTCTTGGGCGGTGACTTCCAGGCCGCTCGGCCTCCCAAGCAACCGGTACCTCCTCCCTTTCGGAGGGAAACATCATTGCAGACTCTGATATTGCCCGTACAGGCTCTAGACTCAGACTGKATGGACTGGTACCGGCCTAGACCTAGCCTACCRCTACTGGGCCTCTAAAAATGCCAACTTTGTCTTCTTCTGCTTGGCCTCGAGTAGCCGGCACATCTACTGCTGCTGGGTGCGGTACCGACCTACCCGCTACTTGAGTGTTTTTCCGCTGCTCCAGGTGCCGCGGGCCCCTGCCTCCGCTACTTGAGTCAGAGAAGACAATGGAACTCAAAATGAAGAAGATGACATGAGTTTTATTATCATGGCGAAATCAACTTCTTCGCAACAACACCCTGATCTCACACCGTCAGGGTTCTCAACCCTTCTACTCATCCGCCACTCACATTGAGGTAAAGTGCTTCACTACAACACTTCTTTTTATACCCTTCATTACCCTACTTTTACTCTCTCCTTGAAGAAAATTTAAATAATAATAATAATACTAATAATACCCGACCTCAAAATCCTGAAAACAAAAGTCAGGCTAGGTTCGTATCTTTCTGAGTTGACACGTCGCTGCGTAGAAGACCCTCAAATACTATAAGGGCCTGGATTGTCCCCTTCCCAATACCTGTGCCCAGGTTCATACGTATCGACCGCTTCTCAAGTGGTCCCTTGCAGGCCAGGAAGGTCAACCGATCCGTGAAACGTTGCCAGCGCCCATGAGAACTGTCCAATCACAAGTACCTGCCACCCGTCGCGGCGTTTTTTCTCGTAACTTAGTACAAAACGAATCTAGTGGATCTTGACCTCGAAACCTGCACACATCGTGCCATATCCACCCTTCTGTAAAAGTCACATCATCCAAGCGGGGCTTCCCGCAGTTTGTCCTTTGTGCTGACTGCCCATGGGCTGAAATCATGTCGTATCCAACCTCGCTAACAAGTACACTATTGCCTCAGGTGCATAAATCGTGCTACATCCAACATTCCTTGCCAGAAGGTAGATTTGATCCTGCGCTGCATCCATTGGAGCCCAGCAATTACCACCTTTCCCGGATAATTACTTTTCCCGAGTTCCTCGCACAGCGTGAGGACGTTACAACACGTAAGCCTGTTCGTATTCGAGTTTTGCGAAATGCGTAGAATCGTATTCGCAATAATTGCAAATTTGCCCGTGCGGGGCCCATACGAGAAAAAATCCTTGTACGTTCGGAACTGAAGTGGCATACTACCCTAGACTGTCTCGACATTTTGGAACTTATGGGACATCAACAGCGTCCTCGTTCCGCACGCCACCATCCTTGTTTCCAGAAAGTCCAATACGTCGTTTCCCGGGCTTGTTCGTTCGAGTACCAATCCTTCGGGATAACAGTGCGTTACTTTGTCGAGAAGACTCTCAACTTTAGCTAGCTCATGCTTTCAGAATAATGCAATTATCAACAGATCGTCGATGTAACGCTTTCCCATAATTATTCTCTTATCTGCACACAGGGACCTCAAAACCTGGTTCTCAACTAACATACACATCACACAGGCTAACGGAGGGCTAGCCCTCCCACCCATGGGGAGTCCTTTCTTCTGACGAAGCGTTGTATCGGACACTAAGAAGTAGGTGTTCTTGAGCTGAAATTTCGTTAGCCCAACCAGAGACATTAATTTAACCGATTTCCATCCCATTACACCATGTGATTTCCCAAAACGTGTTTTTTTTCCCCTTGGATTAACACGGATCCATTTTATTGATTTTGCGCAAAACCAGTCAACAATCCAAGCAACAGCCCTCACAATCTCATCATGGGGAAGATGGGTGAACATTTCCTTGATATCGTACGTACGGGCGACGATACCGAGTTTCCCACTCTCCACCTCTGGCATTTTGTTAATCATAGCAATCTCATTCTTCAAAGCATTGATGGATCTTAAGTTAAAATGTGGTTCTTTTAGCCTCCGTATCAGTTCGTTCAAAGCAGTGGAAAGACAGCCTGAGGTTGCCCTGAATGGACTCAGATAGGATGGTACAATGGGCCGTTTTTTGCACTTGTCTTTCTCTTTGGAGAGGAAATATGCGTGCTGCAGGTCACCTTTGCCATCCCATTTTCCAAGTTCGTGAAAACCCGAATTTTCGTATTCCTCCTTCATGACAGAGTTTCGTAGTTTTCATTCCCAAGGAACATTTTCTTTAGACCGGCTTCATACAATATGGGACACTCCAGCCAGGTCTCACTTGTGTTTCGATCCAATGGAGATCTAACAAGGCCATCAAGCGCTTGTTGTACCCCTTTTACGTACTCACTCAATACGCAACCTTCTTGCATTTTTTCCCCAAGTCGTGGGACCCGTAGGTAATCAATGCGCATCTGCGAACTTACCAAACCCATTGTTCGCAAGCTTTCAAGGGCATCATTACAGGCGACATCGAGCGTGCCGCGATTTGCCACAGAACCCGGAAATGGGACGTTCTTCGCATTGAATAAAAATGGATGTACACCAGCCACTTCACTGAGTTTTACCGCAACGTGCCCATTAACTTTGGGCAGGTCAAAGTCAGCACAAACACAGTCAAATATGGACTGGCGTGCATACAACTTATGGTTATGCAACAAATCCCCGACAAAGTTGGTTTTTTGCCAGACTGTCTTGGTTCTTTTCGCATACAGATCACCCAATGATTGTGGTCGGACGTTATCCGAAACCCATCTCTTTACTTCACTTTCGACCTTCCTTTTATCAATTGTCGTACAAAATGGTATTTTAACGATCACATTCACGCGAGGATTAATTCCAAATTTCTTCTTGAAAACATCCATGAGGACACCACGAATAATCTGCCTGCCACGATGCTGGTTAACCGTTTTTAGTACTTTTTACAACGTTATTTAATTCAATAAGTTCGGACAGATCACGTTTATGCAGATCCCGCCGTTTCCAAGGCGATCTGAGAAGTGCTATGAGTTCGTGTTTTAGCAGGTCCGTCTTCGTCTTTGTACGAATTATGTCAATAATCCGCATAGCACCACCCATCTCAATGGCTTCCTTCGCGTCTTTTAACAACATTGTCCCTCCCCGATCTCAACCTTCGAATACCCAAAGACTAACACAACCAGACGCCATGCCCTCAACCATCTCTCGCCTTTCTCATTTGTGATTATTATTCCTTTTTCAACTTTGCGCTTTTTAATAAGCTTAAGAATTTTGAGCAGATCAGGATCCTATTTAATGTTAACAGCAAAACAGTCGAAAAACAGAGGTTCAATAACATTTGTGAGAGGCGTATGGCTACGAGTGTATGACTTTTTCCTGCCACGGGCCCTGCATGCTCTCTTCCCATGCTTGGTGCCTCGTGTGTTCAACCCAGGGTTACAGTCACTGATCACAGTTTGTTCCACGGCATCAATTATCGGCCCATTACCGAACTAGATCGATATCGGTACATAATGCTCAACTCCAGCCTTACGCAACCATCCATTGACTTTCTGCTTACTAGTACCCTTAATGGCCCTGCAGTGTTCAGTCCATCTTTCTCGCAGTGACCGGGTGGTCTTTCCTACATACACAACTTTATGACATAATGACATGAGGACATGAACACACTCACGTCCATCTAGCATCTTTTCCCATTCACTACTAGTCAATCAGAGCCAGAATCGAACGTATGTCCATCCCCACGCAATCTCATTGTGAAGACAGGCTAGAAGGATAATCAGGACATGAATTTGTTCCAGAAGTAAGCGTATCGCAGCATCAGCTTCAAGCTTCAGTAAGCGTATCGCAGCATCAGCTTCAAGCTTCAGTCTTCCGATGTGGTTCGCAACGCGCCGTAGTGCGGGAAGGGAACCCCACTTCAGTTTCCCTTCACGGGATCTTCCAGTCCCGCATCCTTCTCATCGGCCCCATTGCTGCGAGCCATGGTCGGCCTAGATGATTCCGCACCATGCGCCGGTTTCTCCTCTTTCAGCAGGTTGGCATACTCTTGCAGGTCCAGCCTGGACAGCTCCTAGGCCCCGAGTCCCGACGTCCTTCCAGAAATATTGTATGTTCCTCTGTTTGCACATCTCCTGCACACGTGTATAGTGCAGCGAACTGTAAAATTCTTGCCGCATCTTCATGTAGGCAGCCAACCCTCCATCATTTTCCTCATCTTCTTCATCGTTGAGGTCATTCTGTACTACATCCACATCATCCGCACCCTCGGATCCACCACTTGCTTCAGCTCTTACCAACATCGGCATTACGACCGGCGCTTTTCCTTTGGCATCACTGATGCCTTGCAGGAGGGCTGCTAGGAGGTGAGTTGGCGACTGGGGTGCATTCCCCTCCTCTCTTCCTCTTCTCGTTACTAGTCGGATCCTTGCTCCCTTTCTCCAACAGGGCCTTCTCTTCGCGCAGCTTGTTGAGTTCTTCCTTCTCCGCTACAGCGAGCTTCGCCTTCTGATCGACTTCCTGGAGCTTCTCGGTAATCAATTTGAGAGAATCCCCAAGCGTCGATGTCACCCAAGCTTTCATTTCTTCACTCTTGTCAGTAGATCGCGCCTTGTCCGCAGATCGCACTTCGGATCTACTCCCTTCGTCGGGCAGTTCTATGCACGGACCGCCACCTCGCTTGCCGCTCACGATCTTTTTCCGAGCATCTTCAACCGCTTTGTTCATTTTGATATCCTCCAGAATATCCATGTACTCCTTGGTAAAGTACGCCCGATTCCCAGGACCAGGGAAGGCATTCGCAGCCGGCCCCTTCCCGGTGTGACTTCCATTCCCCGTATTGTGCGAAGCTGATGCCTGGTGATTCGAGAGTTGTTGGTGTGACTGATTGATCGACTGCTGATTACTAACTGGCTGCAGATTGGTCGCCTGGCCTGCCCACTGCCCATTCACTGGCCACTGGCCAGCATTCTGCCATGGTGGGATTCCCCATGGACTCGCAGACGTAGCGACTGCTTGGTACTGCACCGGAGCTGGAGGTACCATGTTCGGAACTGTGGGCGGCCCCATAACAGGCATTCCTGCAGGTGCTTGGAACGTCGTGGCGAATTGTGCGGGGTTCACTCCCGGGGGATATACATTTGTCGCGAGATTGCTGCCACTGTATTGGGCTGGATTCACACCTGGTTGCTCTCCTCCGCGATTCGCACCATTGCTCTCCATCCAGTATCTCCCACAGTTAGACCAGCGACCCCGTCGCCCGCCGACTTTACCTCTCCCGCGCCCTGACATACGATACAAGGCTACTCCAAGCGCAACTCCACACCCAAGACTAACGCCAATAGCCCAGTTCACTTCCGCGTTACTAATGAGTCGGCACTCGCGCCAGCTTACACAGAACACCATGCCCTGTCCACCTCTTCTCCCGCGCGTACGTAGCATAAACGCAGCACCCACGACTAAGAAACCTCCTTCGACTTATGGACTGGGGTGGTCGACCATCCGTCGAGGCCTGCTCCCGTGTTCGAAGGTGACCTGCGTTGACGACAATCAGCCCTGCCACCATCGCTACTTCATGGTGTGCCGATTCAAAAGGAACCGCGCCCTCGTGGACTACACTTGCACAACTCCCGTACACAACGACGTAAATGCACTGTGAATTTCGCAAATTCTCCCAGACGATCTCAAAGTATTCCAGTTACACAAAATGGCACATAATATTGTGCGAAATTTCGCACGAATATTAAGAAATATTCAGAATATTAAAATATGAAGAGAAATGTTACAAAATATTGATAAATGACAAGCACGATTTTCACATCGTGAACATTTCCACAAAGTGGAAGACGATTCAACGAGGGAAGATCGGCGCCCTAGGCTCGTTCCCAAGCCACAACAAGGTCGAATCTAGGGTTTTAAACCATCAGAGAAGACAATGAAACTCAAAATGAAGAAGATGATATGAGTTTTATTATCATGGCGAAATCAACTTCTTCACAACAACACCTTGATCTCACACCGCCAGAGTTCTCAACCCTTCTACTCATCCGCCACTCAGATTGAGGTAAAGTGCTTCACTACGACACTTCTTTTTATACCCTTCATTACCCTACTTTTACTCTCTCCTTGAAGAATTTAAATAATAATAATAATAGTAATAATACCCGACCTAAAAAATCCTGAAAACAAAAGTCAAGCTACGTTCGTATCTTTCTGAGTTGACGCGTCGCTGCGCAGAAGACCCTCAAATACTATAAGGGCCTGGATTGTCCCCTTCCCAATACCTATGCCCAGGTTCATACGTATCGACCGCTTCTCAAGTGGTCCCTTGCAGGTCGGGAAGGTCGGTCGATCCATGAAACGTTTCCAGCGCCCATGAGTACTGTCCAATCACAAGTACCTGCCACCCGTCGCGGCGTTTTTTCTCGTAACTCAATACAAAACGAATCTAGTGGATCTTGACCTCGAACCCTGCACACATCGTGCCATATCCACCCTTCTGTAAAAGTCACATCGTCCAAGCGGGGCTTCCCGCAGTTTGTCCTTTGTGCTGACTGCCCATGGGCTGAAATCATGCCGTATCCAACCTCGGTAACAAGTACACTATTGCCCCAGGTGCATAAATCGTGCTACATCCAGCATTCCTTGCCAGAAGGTAGATTTGATACTGCGCTGCATCCATTGGGGCCCAGCAATTACCACCTTTCCCGGATAATTACTTTTCCTGAGTTCTTCGCACAACGTGCCCGTCCGTATTCGAGTTTTGCGAAATGCGCAGAATCGTATTCGCGATAATTGCAAATTTGCCCGTGCGGGGCCCATACGGGAAAAAATCCTTGTATGTTCGGAACCGAAGTGGCATACTGCCCTAGACTGTCTCGGCATTTCGGAACTTATGGGACATCAACAGCGTCCTTGTTCCGCACACCACCATCCTTGTTTCCAAAAAGTCCAATACGCCGTTTCCCGGGTTTGTTCGTTCGAGTACCAGTCCTTCGGGATAACAGTGGGTTTCTTTGTTGAGAAGACTCAGCTTTAGCTTAGCTCATGCTGTCAAAATAATGCAATTGTCAACAGATCGTCGATGTAACACTTTCCCATAATTATTCTCTTATCTGCACCCAGGGAGTTCAAAACCTGGTTCTCAGCTAACATACACATCACACAGGCTAACGGAGGGCTAGCCCTCCCACCCATGGGGATTCCTTTCCTCTTACGAAGCACTGTATCGGACACTAAGAAGTAGGTGAAACTGATTTCCATCCTATTTCACCATGTGATTTCCCAAAACGTGCTTCTTTTTCCTTGGATTAACACGGATCCATTTTATTGATTTTGTGCAAAACCAGTCCACAATCCAAGCAACAACCCTCACAATCTCATCATGGGGAAGATGGGTGAACATTTCCTTGATATCGTACGTACGGGCGACGATACCAAGTTTCCCACTCTCCACCTCTGGCATTTTGTTAATCATAGCAATCTCATTCTTCAAAGCATTGATGGAGCTTAAGTTAAAATGTGGTTCTTTTAGCCTCCGTATCAGTTCGTTCAAAGCAGTGGAAAGACAGCCTGAGGTTGCCCTGAATGGACTCGGATAGGATGGTACAATGGGCCGTTTTTTGCACTTGTCTTTCTCTTTGGAGAGGATATATGCGCGCTGCAGGTCACCTTTGCCATCTTCAAAGCTACTTGAGTGTTGTCCCCTGCTGCAACCCTCAATGCCACGGCCACGGGTAAGTACCGGCCCTACGGGCCTGCCAAACAAGCAAGTACCCTTGCGGGTCACACACACACTCATGCCGACAAACACTCAGACAAGCACGCAAGTCAACAGGCAGGCACACATACAGACTTGGAAAACATAGCAGAATGCGGGAATCTTAGCAAGGCATCCATTCCATCGGTAGAACTTCATAAATCAGCAGTGTTCTCAGTCTATTATATGGCGGGTCATTAGACTACCCCCCCCTCAAGAGCGAGGTCCCTTCGAGCGAGTAACTCAATCAGAGTCCCTGCATAATGCATCATACGCGTAAATAGCAAAAAGCGATCGTGTATGTTCAGTAGGAGTGAGGGTAGCAATGAACTTCGGTTGCTGTTCAGAGCTAATCAGTCGTTCATATGCGTTGACGACTCGCAGGGCGCTCTGCAGCAAGTCTTTCTTAGTAATCCAGTAAAAGTCATTCAACGGGTGGTAGAGAAAATGAACTTTGTATCGTCTGTTTCTCCCCTTTCCACCGTGCTCGACAATTCTATCAACCTCGTGACCGCCTTGGATTGCACGAGGAATCATTGACTCTCGGTACTTGAAAGTTTCGGGTGATTTATACGGAAACAGCTTAGACGCATGAAAGACTGGGTACGTACGTAGGTGAGGAGGCACATTGATTGTGTAAGAAGGACCAAAGGAATCATTTCCTACCCGGTTCAACACCTTCCACGGACCGTGGTACCGAGGAAGAAGCTTTCGTGATACGCCTTCCTCTTCAGAAAATTCAGACATCTTGACCCAGACATAACTTCCCACTGTGAAAGGGTCAGGCTGGCGCTTTTTGTTTGCATGCTTAATCATAGCACTGCGTCGCCTCTCCATAGTTGCGACAACAACTTTGAGCAAACGATCAAACTTAGCGTTGTAGCCTGGCTGGCCAGGTGTCAGCCCAGGTGGCTGTTCAGAAAACAGATAAGATAAGGGATTGCGAATCTTCCACCCAAGGTGCAACTCAATGCGTCATCCCGGTGGAAGAGTGTATGGAGTTGTTGTACAAACCTTGCACAATTGGCAGTTCCTCATCCCAAGAGTTCTGATCAGACACAGTTAGAGCTCGGAGAAGTTGGATCACAGTCTGGTTGATCTCCTCGGCCAGTCCATTGGCTTCGGGATGTCGGCCAGACGTCATCTCGAGTTTCATGTCATAGGTCAGGGAGGTGAAGTCCTTCCAATCTGCACTTATGAACTGAGTGTCCCGGTCACTCACAAGAGTTTTCGGGGGCCCATACTGCAGAATGTATTTTTTATAAAACTCTTTGATCACAAGATCAGTTAGGGCATGAGGTGGTAATGGGATCAGATTCAGAAACTTCGAGAAGCGGTCAACGATCACCATTACTTGCGAATAGGCATTCTTACTCTTCTTTCCCATGTCCGTGAAGTCGATGGAAAAAGACTCACCCGGGCCATCAGGAATAGGAAGAGGGTGTAGCAACCCGTAGGGCTTCTGTCGAGATGGTTTGATGCATTGACAGACTTCACACTCGACCACAAACTTTTGTGCCATTCCTTTTATTCCAGGCCATACAAACTTTTGCAGCAGACTTTTGTATGTCTTCTCAAAACCGAAGTGTCCACTCCGGCCATGAGCCAAGTCCAAGAAGTGAGTAAGGATCGACTCATGGTCGGGTACACACAGTCGGTCGTGTTTCCCGTAACGTCGGAAAAGTTAGCCCTTACATTCATGGAGATCAGGTTGACTGCTAGGGTCAGCCCGAATCTGCTCAAGGATGGGACTGAGTTCCAGGTCCTTGGCAGTGTGCTCAATGAGTTCCTCCTTCAAATTCTTACGGGGATCATAGGAACCCACAAGGCAAGTCATGTACTCAGGATGGCGAGACAAAGCATCTGCAACGCGATTGTAACAGCCTTTCTTGTGCTCAAGTTCAAAATCATACACATCAATCTCATGCAGCCAGCGGGTCAATGTGGTTGATGAATTAATCTGTGTCTGAATCCATTTCAAAGTCTCGTGATCTGAGAACACTTTGAAATGACGACCCAAGAGGTAGTGTTTCCAATGATCTAGTGCCTCTCTCAAGGCGTAGAGTTCTCGCATGTAAGTGGAGGCAGATACCTTGTGACTGAGCATGCGTTTGCTGTAATATTCAAGTGGACGTAAGCCATCGCCGTCATCTTGCTGCAGCACTGCACCAATCCCATACAAGCTTGCATCCGTAGTTACTACAAACTTAAGTTTGGGAACTGCAATGTGGAGCACCGGATGGCTCACCAAAGCCTCTTTCAACGCTTGGAAGGCTGTTGTGCATTCTCCATCCCGTGTGTAAGACACATTCTTACTTATCAACTTGGACAGCAGACGGGCGATGATAGGGAATTTGGGTACAAACTTACGGTAGTACGACGCAAGGCCAAAAAAAGAACGCAACTCGCGGACATTGGCCGGTTGAGGCCAATTGCGGATGACCTCAACTTTGGTTGCCTCGGGCTCTAGGCCTGCAGCAGACAACCGATGTCCAAGGTAGATGACGCTGTCCCTCCCAAACTCAGATTTCTCCAAGTTGAGATGGAGTTGCGCATCCTTGAGGATCTGTAACACTTCCTCAAGGTGTCTCGCGTGTTCCTCCATCGACTTGCTGAAGATTAATATGTCATCCAAATACACAACAACAAATCGATTGATCTGATTGCAGAACACCTTGTCCATAAGACTTTCAAAGGTGGCCGGTGCATTCGTGAGGCCGAAGGACATGACGGTAAACTCGTACAGCCCATCGCAAGTTTTGAATGCAGTTTTGTGCTGGTCTGCAGGGTCAACTTCAATCTGGAGGTAGCCATACTTGAGATCGATCTTGCTGAAAACCTTGCACCCACCCGCAACATGAAGCAGATCATCAATATGCGGCAAAGGATATGCATTCTTTCTTGTTATTCTATTAAGCCCGCGGTAATCAATACACATCCCTTCCCAATCATGTCATCAATCTGTCTACGCAACTCTTCCAATTCGCCTGATCCCATTCGATAGACACAACCATTTGGAGGAGTGCTACCTTCTATCAACTCGATCTTGCGTCGGATTGGACGCACGAGAACTCCATGCGGTTCGACCAAGACTTCAGGAAATCGGTTGAGAAGGTTGCGAATTTCTGATGGGATCTCCGAAGGTGGATCATCACATTCAGGTGCAAGCATCCCGGATTGCATCGGTGCAACCAAAGCAACAGGATTTGAAGCAGAGTCGTTTGGACTAGAAGTAGACTTAGTAGAGGTAGAAGTAGTTGCCTCAGAAGTAGAAATGGCATGCAAAGTGGAATCATTATGTACTACAAAAAATAGAAGGCACATGAGCAGGCCTAACAAAGGCTATATACATTTGCTCATCAACTTTTCGCCTATGCCACTTTTTGCAGAATTGCATTGCATTGAGAAAAGTTACTTGGGACTCGCGCGGCTCATCCAAGAGGACTGAACGTTCGATTCCCATGGCATCTTTGACCATGAACTGTGAGTCCTTCCACGTGGTTCTTTCACATTGGGCTTGCAACCAGCCCAAGCCAATAATCGCGTCGAAGGGGCACTGATCAAGGACATAGACGTTCAGTTCATGCGTGATTGTGCGGTCTGCGTCAAAGGTAGTGCGCACACTTTTGACTGCATGCATAGAGGTGACAACCTCTTGGTTGCCCACTTCACTTGCTTCATTCCCAAGCGTGCCTTAGGAATGTCATGCGATGAGAAGCAGTTGGCGGTTGCACCACAATCAGCCAACGCACGGATGTAACGACCATTAATGTAGAGTTTGAAGAAGATCAACTTCGTTCTCCCTTGCGCGCGTTCTTGCTTCATATGAGCCCAGCACGTCAACAGAGCATGGAATACAATTTCTCCCGACTCCACCCAAGGCTCCTTATAGAGGATGTGCAATTTCTCAGCCTTGGAATCAGCATCAGATCGGGTCTCAAGAAAGGTTTGCTGAGTGGGATCAGAATTCAGTGAAGGATCTGCACTTACATATTCAGCCTCTCCGTCTGTAGAGTGTGCTGATGATGTCTCTACCCCCTTTGCTGGTTTCCCTGCTGCAATCTGAAGCAATGTTGAACTAAATGTCCCGGTTTGGTGCAATGCAAGCAAACCCCTTTCTTCACCCTGTGTTTCCACTCGCTTTCACTGATCCGGAGATCTACCCATGGTTTTGTGGCAGAATCTTCCGGTTTGGGTGGAATCTTCGCTCCCTTGGGAAGGAGAATGGTGTTAGTAATGTTCTTCACTGTCGTCCTTGGTCCCTTACTTTTGAAGGCAGTCTTCTTGAAGGCATTCATAGATTCATCATCATTCACATACTCAGACTCATGGGCCGATGAAGAGCAAGATGCCTCGCAGCCTTGCTCTTGATCATCATCAAGAGAAGGATCCACTGCGAAGGTTTCCTCGTCATCCTCAAGTAGATCGTGCGCTGCAAAACGGTTGCTGCTTGGAAACCGTTTGTGGTCGGTGGTCTTTTTGCCACCCGATCCACCCGAGAGGTCTTGTGCCTCCAGCTTGACTAAATCCCACATGAGGGTAAGACAATCTGTATACGTTATGAGTCTGAGCCCCAGGCGATGTGTTATAGTAGAGGGGACCGTACCTTTAATCACATCCAAATAAGACTGCGCCGTCATTTCCAGGTCAGGAGTAGCATGGGTAGATCTCCGGAGATCTACCTTTAACACCATGCATAGTCTGCACATTAGCGAATTGTTGCAGCTGGTCACGGTGCTGCTGCGCCATCAGGGCCATGTCCTCATACAACTTCTTGAGTTCGTCGAACACTTTGGCGAGTTGGACAATATGGTCCTCAACAGCCCGGGCGTCTATCAAAGCCCCAAGGAGTGGAACGACTTTCTCTCCCACCTCCTCATTAGTTAGTGCAGACACGGTACAGAAAACGGCTTCATGAGCCTTTACCTTATCCTCCCTCTCCTCCTTCTCTTCCTCTTCCCTCTTCAATGCTTTTTCATAAAAGAACAGGTACTGCGTTTTTTCTGCCTCAGGGGCAGCGTCCATTTGCAGTTTCCAATCTGCTGCAGATGCCATGATGGTGGATGAGGGTGTTAACAAGTCTCTCAAGAGGGGTCCGTACTTCCTCACACTTGTGGGACGAACCACTCCTCTTCCCTCTCCTCGCTCCCTCAGAGATAACTCTCAACAATTTCTCTCTCCTCTCTCTCTCTCTTGTTTGCGATCGCGTCGACACAGGCATATAGAACCGATAAAGAAACAAACATGAAGATCAATCAGAGAAAAGAAGAACTCCTAGCCGGAGCGGCAATTCATTTGGACTGGAGAGTAGTCAAAACGACAAAAAATAAAAGATCAGAGAGATTTGATTCAGCCACACAGTCTGGACCGACTACATATGGGGTCCTCTCAAGCCTAGCCGGCCTCAGCTCCGTGAAGACATAGCAAATCAGATTCAAAGTGTACTACGTAATGCAAGAAAGAATTGAGTGGTGCTCAAGGTGCGAGTCAGAAGGCGGATCATGCGGTGAAGCCTGATAAAACATCTCAGCGGAGATCCCCTCCGCGACGAGTGTCCTGGTCCGAAAGCATAAAGTCCGCGTTCCAATCAGATCGGGCAAGGTAACTGACGTCAACAGATTTGGCCTGAGGGGCCCTTCTTGTTTGGGCCTGGTCCCATTGAGTCCCAAACGGTCCCAGTGGAGTCAGAACCGGGTCACAACCAACAAGAGTTGTCCCTACCGAATTGAAAAAAATGAAATTTTGCCCCAGAAAAAACCTATAGACTACAACCGTTCAGAATGAAATAGATAAAGCACTGTAGAAAGATATATCATGGCACACAAGATACTCCATCCATTCACTCATCAGGCGAGTAAGCAGTTCACGCACTTCATGCAAGATCAAGACTATGGAGGATGAAAGAAGAACCCAAAAAACCCCAACAGGCAGTCAATTCGATGCACACACACATGGGCACCCTGGCGGCACGACACTTACCTGAGTGGCCGGGCTCTTGAGATGAAAGAACTAATCCCCTCTCACCGCCTGACCCAATTAGCATCCTCTACACTAGTGTCCTATCATCTAGGAGGGTCAACATCTACCCCAAAGTACAAAGCCGGATCCCCCGTCGATGTTGAAGATCAAAGCAGCAACTTGCAGTCCGTAGGTGCAGATACGGCTGCCACCCTCAAGCTCACCTGACTTGAGGGGAGCCCTAAAGTCACTCCTCGTCTTTCTTGAAGTCCAGATTCAAGTTGTATGTTCCCTTCATTGTCGCCTCTCTCAAGTTGCATCATGAAGTCCCACCTTGTGTCTCGCCACCACAACATGCACTCAAGCAACCTGGCCGGGTCTAGTGTCGGCCCTACACGGCCCTGCCAGGTGGGGGCAGCTTCCCTTACCACACTGCCCCACTTAACCCTAACTTCCGCCCTAACCCTAAGTGGTTAGCCCTTACCACTAGGGTTAGGGTTATGGCAGCAAAGTAAACTCTCACCAGCAAGTAGAATCCGCTCCGATACCAATGTTACGATCCTGGCCAATTTCGAAGTATACAAACATCAGAAGTACAATGCCATCCAATTGCAAAAAGAAATTAATGAACTTGAGAGGAGAGAGAGGGAAAGAAGAAGAAGAAGTAAGAAAGAAGAAGAAGATGATGTACTCCAGCATAGACCAATGACAAGGCTCTTCTTCCTCGCCAACCAATTTCCTCCTCCTTATCTCCTCCCCTCTTATTCACACAAGAAATAACAATAATAATGTTTATGGCTGAACCAGAATCAATGTCCGAATCCCACTTCTACTGCAGGCACAACATGAGGTCCACCATAGCCATGGCCACCCTTCCTCTTCCTCTACATACAGGCCGAGGCTATGGCGGAGTACTGAGGGCTCTCCCTCCTGTCCAAAGGACAACCCAAAGCAGCTATGTCGCTGCCCTTCTGTMCCCAGGTCAACTCCCTGCAGCTATGCCGCTGCCTACTCAACCGCCATGCCTGACTCTGCCCCGAGCTTCCTTGATGCGGCACTACCCCCACTGGGACCTTCCAGATGCAGCGCCTAACAAGGTGATGTGGATGGTGTCTGCCATAGCCAGGTAAGTACCCCGCCACTCTCCTCCTTGGTCCCCTTCTCCCTCCTCCTCCTACCGGTAGAGCTCCACCATAGCCAAGGTGGAAGCTTCCGGCTTCTTCCTCCCAGCAGCGCTGTAGTACCCAGCGCCACTCCAGCCAGCGCTCCAGCAGCGTGTCGCCAAACTTGCACACTGAAGAATGAGGCCGAGCTCTTGCCTCGGCCTCTTGATATAGCGGGCCTGCTTGCCTCTTGGGCGGTGACTTCCAGGCCACTCGGCCTCCCAAGCAACCGGTACCTCCTCCTTTTCGGAGGGAAACATCATTGCAGACTCTGATATTGCCCATACAGGCTCCTGACTCAGACTGTATGGACTGGTACCGGCCTAGACCTAGCCTACCGCTACTGGGCCTCTAAAAATGCCAACTTTGTCTTCTTCTGCTCGGCCTCGAGTACCCGGCACATCTACTGCTACTGGGTGCGGTACCGGCCTACCTGCTACTTGAGTGTTTTAACTGCTCCAAGTGCCTCGGGCCCCTGCCTCCGCTATTTGAGTAACCCTCAATGCCACGGCCGCAGGTAAGTACCGGCCCTACGGGCCTGCCAAACAAGCAAGTACCCTTGTGGGTCACACACACTCATGCCGACAAGCACTCAGACAGGCACGCACACATACAGACTTAGAAAACACAGCAGAATGCTGGAATCTCAGCAAGGCATCCATTCCATCGGCAGAACTTCAGAAATCAGCAGTGTTCTCAGTCTGTTTTATGGCCGGTC